ACATTCTGATCATTTATATTACAGGAAACTCGTAAATCAACTATCATTTATATAGCTTTATTTATTTATTTATTTTATATAGATTTATTTTATTTTTTACATTTTTATATATTTATTCAACCTATTTTTATTGAATGGTAATAATAAAGAGATCAAGTATTTTTTTATTTGTAAATAATTTTAAAATATTATTAATCTTCAGTAGTTATAGTGTAATATACCTACTTGTGTTACATATTTATATATCTACCTGACGGCCTTTAGTCACTATGTTCTATAAATAAATCAATTTATGAGTCATGGGTTATCAAAATGAAGATCTGAGTTCTAAAAGGCAGGTCATGAATCGAGATAAATGTAAAAAAATATCGAAAGTCTTTACTGCCTATACTATTCAAATGCCAGCCAATCTGCATTGCGCATATTATGATGTATCCATTTCTTTTTTCTAACCTATTATTTCGTAATATTATTATCAGACTCTAAAAGATAAATTTGATTTAGATGTGCCTATTTTTATATAAAAATTAGGACGTTCTCAGTTTGACTTTCTTTTTTTATATTGTTGCATGCACATGACATCGCATGACATAATTTTGCCGATTTTTTTAATTAATAATTATTAGCTGTTATTGTCGAAGGATGGGCAGCAGCATCCCTTATAAAAGATCACTAAAAGCCTAACTGCGGTAGCAAACCCGCCTGCCAACCGTGGCAACTACTGGCAAGATCCCCCCAATGGTAAATTGTCATCTATATATCTAATCTATCTAGATTAAGAGAATGGCTAAGTGACAAACATACAGACAGACACATCGATCAATTATAATATTGTTATTTTTATACACGACAATGAAAAAATAGGGTAATGTTTTTCGAGTAGGTATAGATATATATGAGTATATAAGCGTATGTGGGTTTTCCAGATCTTTAGTTCTTAATTATTTTTATTAGTGGTTTGTCGGTAAATTTGCCTTAATTGTGGGAGTGTTATAGGTTACATGACGTCATTATCAAATAAATTTAAATGACGACAATAAACTGTCTAAAATTTATTTCACTGAAGCATTTCACGCCCATTCGTTGGTTTCTTTGAATGACAATGCAATTCAAATATTAGCGCCATTATTATTCCTATCTCTAAAATCAAAATTTCAGTCTGGTATTACAACAAAATTAATGTGATAAGAATCACAGTAAACTGTAAATTGCCATTCCTTTTTAAAAGGTGCTGGCCTTTTAAAAAGGCAAACCTGCATTGCCTTTGGTGTTATGGGTGATCATGGGCGGCAATAGTCACTTAGCATCAGGTAAGTCGTATGCTCGTTTGCTCCCTGTGTTGTAAAAAAAAAAGAATTAAATAAGAACCACATATGTAATATCAACAAAACAGAACTCAAAAGAGAACGTTTCGAGTTCTTATTAATATTTAACATAATGTTTCACTAAACTATAGGTTTAATTTACATTTTTCGGATAAATTTAGGGAACTGCACCTCAGATTCGCTCTCATTGTGGAAGACTACAAATCTATAATTATAATATTAAAAGAAATTTAATAAATACAAGTACTTGTTAAATCTAAAATTCGAACAAATAGCTATGCATCATCCAGAAGTATGGGCGTAGATTAATTGCTGCGCGCCTGTAGATGACCTTCATGAAACACCTAAGACATTCTCAATTATTAATTGGTGTGCTATTATTTTATTATTTAGAAAATTATGACGCTTCCGATATAGACTACATTTATACGTACTACATATAGTAGAAATCAAATTTTGAATTTTAACATGTATGACGTATATAATCATGATTTTGTTTTACTTTTTTAAGTGCATTCGAAGTTTGGGTAAATGTAGTTCAGTGGATGGATAAAAATGGCCATAAGCCAGTTGTATTTATGGCTTTGTTACTCAATCAAAGCAATAAAAAAAAACATTAACGGTACACCAGACCTGTGAAATGAAAAATAGAATTAATCTATAGAATGGAATAATATCTCTCGTAATTATATATTTATTTTAGATGCTATATTTTAACCACTAGCATATGTTCGTAGGTTTATTGATATATTACATACATATAGCATAGCATGACAGAGGGACCTAACTAATCGCGTGACCAAGCCCTATCGATTGGCACAATACGAACCTAAATGATTAATACTGCAGGTACTGTTGTATATGGTAGATATAAGCCAATCCTACAGGCTCTTTTACATGAACATCGGCGCTTTATTCTAAATAAAGAAACACATAATCATTAATAAGACGTAGCTAAAATATTATTAATATTCATATCTTTCTTGTACTTCAGACCTACCCTAACAGATAATGTTGTTTTACGGTATAATATGTATGATATACGTTTGATAGACACGTACTATAAGTCACAAGACGGAAATTTCACCAAAAAAATTTAGAGACTACATCTGCTGCAACTGAATAAAAATAATTTGATCTACTAAGACAATAGAAAGATTTACGCATTCATCTTAAATTCTGAGCAAGTAGATATATTCCAAAATTAATCTTGACAAGGAAAGCGATAACCAAAACAAAACCCATATATGCAATTAGACGTAGTTTAGCGAAAAATCGCATTAAAAAAAATACAAAAATAAGGCATACTCAACTAATATACAAACTTCCTATGTCATTTTGTTACCATAGTCTCATTTCGGTTGTATTTTTCATAACTCCTTCAGTTCTAAACCAATTTGGAAAATTATTTATTTTATCCAAAAGTATATACTTATGGATTGGTACTATAGAAATTTTATCATAATCGATTAGCAGTTTAGTTTTTAGATCAAAATAACTGATTTTGTCACAATTGAAGTATTTTTTGTGGGACAAATCTTTAATAATGACAATGATTGTTGGTTGTTTTTTACTAAAATATGTCCAATTATTGATTTAGTGAAGCCGCAGTTTTTCTGTGTAGAGAAACAACTGCTTGTTATCAAATTTAAATCTAAGTTTAGACTCATATTCTAATTTATCAGTTAGCTTGTTTTATTTGGATTAAAAAGTACGTACTATCTACTTCTCAAGTACCTATTTATGACAAATACTTAGTAGTTACTTATAATATATAAACGATACTATAAACATAACATCTGTTTTCGATGCGTAAATGATGAATATTCTAGAGTTAATAATAATTAAATATCAATTAAAACTCTTGCGCAACTATTTAACAAATATCGTAAATAAACGCATGCCACATTCCTTACTGAGTAACAGTCGAGTCATTGTTACAGACAGTCAACATTCGTCGTTATTTAATTAAGGTATCTACATATGTATATATATATAGGAAAATTTCTAAATTGCTACACATTATCTCATGAATTTGCCCACATAAAGTGTCACTTTATTTGATGAGATACAGTGGAGCGTGACGTTATAAATAAAACGTCGTATGACTCTTGTATCAATAATACACGATTCTTCCGTAACTGGTAATTTATAGCAACTTTATTATCATAGCGACCGTCACAGTTAATACTAAGGCAGTTTATTTTTAATTATTATTGCTATTCATAGTTTACGTGCAGTATGTATCATTTATTGACCTTCTCGGCTGTTTATCAAAGGTCAAATTCAAGAGGAATCTAGCCATAATCTATTTCTATTGTTATCGAAAATAGATGACTAATATATTAATTATGTATAGGCATAGATTACCTGCGTCTATTATCACTATTGGAAATACCAATATAAGGTACCATTAACATAAAAAAAATATTATCCATGGATCCTTGGACATATTTTTTATCTACGCACCCTTTTTTATATATGAATTGTATAGATAAAATAAGTAGATATTTTAGAATGCTTTTATACCATTTTTCTATAATACTAATCCTTATCTTGACTTATACCTAATTGCTAAAGTGTGTTTGTTTGTTACATTATAGCATATATTGGTTAAGCCGTTAAGACTTAACCAATAATTATGATATTTGATATGGGATGAAAAAGGATATCTGTAATATATAAGGAGTAAGATTTATACTCGAAAGAAATAGTTTTTGGAACTCCTACTGAAAACAACGGATTAAACATACGCGCACAGGGAACGACAAAGCTTAAATGAATTGAATCTTAATACAATCATCACACCAATTGTATGATTCTAAAATAAACCAGACAGAGAACAAGCGGAGAAAAATCTAGACCGGAGCAATTTATGAAAGACCGCTTATTAAATAGATTGAATTTGAGTATCTTTTATTAACTTTGCCATGTTTTTCGGATAAATAAAAATTAAAAATATATACTATACTAAGTTAAATAAGAGAATATAATGACTTCCAAGGACCCAGTTACATAGGTACAGGCAGTGTAATAGTGATATTCCTGCTTGCAGTGGTGAAACTAGTGTAGAACTTACTCTGGGGTAGAGCATCTAAAGAAAGAAATGTACAGTCAGTAACAAAATAGACAATTACCACATTGTTTTTTTCTATTCTCCTGACGAAACTAAGCAACCAACGATGACTAGGACTAATTGAGAAATCACTAAAAATCTGATCTTTCCCGTATATTACGATAAGTTGAGTAATTACTTATAATGGAATTAAATTCTTATCTATTTAATTTCTTCAAATCTTTATTTATATACGTAGTCCTTAGTCGTGGTCATAATACGATAGACATAAGTGGATAGCTGGTCTCTATGTAATCTTGACATAGAATAGACCAGCCCTTTCTGTTCCGTGGGTGTAGTAAGAGACGACTAAAGGGACTAAATAAACAAGAGATCGGCAGCAGCGTCCTTCTCAAAACATCTCTAAAGCCTAACTTCTGTTGTCAGCCCGCATGCTAAGCGTGGCAACTATTGTTAGTATCCCCCTTATAGAGAAGGCCTAAATCAAACAGTTGACAGTAACAGCTGATATAATAATGATACAAGTGGTTAAACTTCTAATAGACTTTTAAAATAATAGATTAAATTCAAATTCAAATATCTTATTTTCCTACTTCCAGGCCTGTAGAAGATACGAAGACGGAGAGAGCATTAGTTTTTACACCGCTTACAAGGCAATCAAAATATAGAAGACACATCAGGTCAATGTCCGATGTACAGAGCAGCACACCATACAAATTACCTACCAAGTCATGGCATGGAAGCAGTCAAAATATATACGACTCTGACACTAGAGCGAGGAGGATAAGGTATTACAACAAGAGGCTGTTACAAACAGATTCGTCAGATTCGAGTGACACCGAGAAGTTGTACAGGAAAATCGTGAGTTTGAGGGCGAAGGTCATGAAACCTTACGATTCTATGAGGTTTCTCTAATTATATAAGGATCTGATAGTAGTTATATTTGAGGCTGTACATTATAGTTTTATTCTAGATGGGATCACATTTGAATTGCACAATTTTCTAGATGAAACACTGTACGATTTGACTGGCACAAACCGATGCAAAGTACCTAAGTATTAATTTTTTTCATAAATTATGATCCCAACGTGATACAACTATAAATGGACTTTATAGTGTTTTCCTTTTGAGACTGTGATCGAATTAGAATAGGTGTAACTATTAGTCTAAGAAACCTAAGAGTAATTCTAATGATATATCTATATAATATATTTAGTGTTGTTTAAAAAAGAGTTTAAAGAATATTTTTATCGTCTATAAAATATTGAAATGTTAACAAATGCCATACGTTCGTTTTGCTCTAAATCTGTTATGTTTTGATTTGCCAAGATCACTGAAAGTTTCGAAATCTCACACAACGCATATTATTTAGTTATACTGTAATATTAAGCATTGTGTTATTTACGATAAATATTAATGTTTTAAGTTTTAAATGAACAATAAAGACCATTAGTGTATATTACACACCATAATATTATACTTATTTATAATCATAAATAGTTTAAGTTTTTACAAATAAGATAAATTTAAATTTACATGTAGGTAAGTGGCTACCTAATATCTATTCAAAAGCAGTTTTTATCCAAAATATTTTTTTAATGTCAATTTTAATAAATTATTGTATTATATTACAAAGATATACGATAAAAATGAGATCACTCGATTATTACTAAACTATACAACTATGTTAAATATGTGTAGACTTTCTGTCTATAGCGGTATAGTTAATTTGTAATTATTTTTGTGAACATAATTTAGTAATTTTTTAACATTACCGATAATAATAATTATTTGAAAAAAAGCTGGGTATGTTCAAAGTCTCTTTTTCCATAATTGAAGATATTTTCATTCCTTTATCTCTTATTAAGATAATTTTAAGAGGTAAGAAAAAAATTGTGTAAATGTTAGAGGTGTAACATTCAATAATTTTAATATTCCGGCGTACCCGGTAAAACTACGAATCACTCATAGAAAAAATGGTATACTGATTAAACAAAAAAAAATACAATGATAATAGGTATAGTATTTGACATAAATAAAGACCAAGGTTTGGATTCTCTATCCAGTAGAGGCGATTTAGTAAATGAGCTTTTCTAAATTAAGTAGACTCTGAATGTTCTAGGTCTGATGACCTGACTTAGTTTCTCATATTTGATTTAGATACTCGTATAATAGTTTTGAAGTAAAAATTCAATAAAATTTTAATTGACTACACAAGTGAGTAGTCATTTGCACTATTTTTAATGTCTAATTAGTTATTTATAAAAATGAAAGAGAACGATAATATTAAAATTTAAAATTACTTAATACTACTTAGTACTACGACCCAAATAAGACATACTTAGCTAAGACTGACGCCTATAAAAAGTGAGACAGGCAAATAAGGGATAGCTATTTAGTTTATTTTTCAGCTGTAGGACGTTTTACAAGTTGTATATTTTAGGAATAATCGAAAGAGATCGTCCTATATACACATCTACCTACCAGAAACAAGTTAGTAACTCTTGTAAAATTTGTACCTAATCATATTGTTACCAATTCCATATTAAACATGAATAGGTACTTAGGTGTACTTACAGTACAACCAACTTATCTGAGAAATACAAAAATAAATAATCTGTCCGAATCTTACGCACACGAAGTTAATAATATTAGTGCATTAATAGATAGGTAATATAATAGTGCCTTTTCTACTAATGCCTAGTATTATTTGAATACTTATTTGAAAATATATTTTTATTTTAAAATTTCGTGTGTACTAGATACAAGTTGTTTTTGTCTATTATAGATTATCCATTTGGAAAATGTATATAAACTTCGAGCATTATTTTTAGTTCTTGATATAGTTTTAACATCTTACAATCTTATAAGGGCTATCAAACTTATAAGATTACATTTTAACGATTTTTATATTTATAATTATCTAGATACGATAATGTACACATTTGTATTCACAAGTATGTCTGTTTGTATTAATGTTTTCTACACATATATAATAATATGTATATGTAGGTATGTATATTAATGTATTTATGAAAACTAATTATGTATATCAGTTGTCTAGAAGCCTTAGTACAAGCTCTGTTTTGTTTGATTTTTTTTTTAGTACGTTTGTTCCGTTGTGGAACAGGCTAAGGTCGAAGACCATGCTGCCTAGTCTTCAATATGATAATTTGTCTGGAATTCTGTTTTGTTTGAGACTAAATGACATTACAACCCTGATGATGATTTTAATTTTTTTATCTATTTTTTTTTATTATATGTACTTACAGTTACATTAACTGTTTGGAATTTGAAATAATAGATCTTTCTGTAATATTCTTATGCCTTTTGATTTGCTTGCTATATAAATTTATTGTAACATTGACAGTAAATTATTTCTATAGCAGACAATATATTATATTTATTTACTAAAAATGATTGTTTTATTTATATCAATCAACTTCAAAAAGAGAGAGAGAGGTCCGGAGCAGCAAAGCTAAAATGAATCCCTCAGTTTAATAAGTTGATGTAATTTTACAAGCTTTTTATTCAGTTCACACTTGTGTGTATAATTGTTTATATTTATTTAGTCAAAATCTTGCAAAATTTATTTTAAATTAGACTTAAATAAACATACCCCCAGGACCAAAAAGAGCTAGAGTAACTTTTCGCTATGTTTATCACATCATTATCGTATCGGCCTTTATCTGTTCACTGCTGAACATAAACCTCCTCTTTAGGAGATTTTGGCGGTAATTGCCACGCTTGGCAAGTAGATTGACAACCGCAGTTAGGATTTGAAGACGTTTTAAGAAAAATGCTGTTGCCCGTCTCTTGCCCTCCCTTAGTCGACATTCTCATCGACAGGTCTTACGACAACTACGGAAAAGAAAGAGGTGGCCTATGCTAAGACCACACATCAAGTTTTTCATATGATCAAATATGTATATTTGGTATTTGATAATTATTGCCTAAAAAGATAAAAATGTTTACTATATTAAAATATCATTTTTACCAAATAGGAAACACAGTAGATATATAAAAAGATTAAAGATTTTCTAGATTTTTTCTATTCACCCCACAAATTCTATTAACCCTATTCTACGGTAATACCATAGAATAAGGATAATACTTTAAAATTCTCTTTCTATATATAATGACAGTAGTTATTGACAGTTTTGACATATTTTTATAGCTTACGAGCCGTTAAGAGTTAACACTACCTGTATAATAATAAAAGTGGAAAATGAATACATGCTACAATCTAGAAGTGTCAACAATACAAAATATATAAATATTCATAGTATTCTACAACTATTTGTAGCATGCCTCTATTCAAAATATTGAATTTAATATGTATAGCTACTTTGTTAATCGACTTAAAATAAAGAGAAGGTTCTCAAATCAATTGGTTCTTTTTATGTTTGTTACTTTAGAACTCCGTCATTTATAAATTGTTTTAATTTTTTATCTAAAAGGATATACTTTCGGGTTAGTTTTATAGATTTTATCAAAATTAGTTTAGTAATTTAGTTTTTAAATTAAATTAAGTGGTTTTGTCGTAATTGAAGTAAAATTTTTAGTAAAATACAGTCTTGAATTATTTAGTGAAATGTTCATAAATTCAACAAACTGGTTGCATAGAATTCATACAGATAAACCTTTTTTTTTTAAATGACGTGGATTTGTTTAGTAACTTGTTAGTTTTTTGACAGTTTTGACGTTTGAATGATGGCCTGAGTATTAGGTTTTGTTTACTTTTTTGTTTACATTTTATTTTTGTTTTCTTCACAAGTTTTCTGAATGCCACCTTCTGTACATTTTGATTCTATATTGACCTTTAATCGAAAATTGAATTAATACGTTATAAATCATATATTTACTGTTAAACATCTTTATCATCATTCAGTCAATTTAAATTAAAACCTGACGTGTGAAAACCAATAGCAAGACGCAATTCTGAGCGCGAGTCAACTAAGTTCAGTTGCGGTTGATTATATTAAATATATTGTTAACCCTACTTTTTTACTTTATGTAGGCATTTTAAGTTAGTCGCGTTTATGAACTTCACTGAATAAGACACCTCAATAAAATGAAATTTTGGATAATATCTATTTTTATTTATAAGTTAGTAATTGCGGATCCAGTGCCCATAGTATTGTGGCATGGAATGGGTAAGTGTCGCAGTATTCACTTATTTTTTAAAGCACAGTTACCAGTGTTAATAAACCTGCGTAAACATAATATGAATATTGATAATTATATTCCCTTAATTCTTGATTAATGTCATTATGGATAAATATATTTTAAGGATAATCTTTATTGTTAAAATTAGATAAAATTTTTGTGTACTATATTGTAGATTTATTAAAAAAATTTTTTTCTGTTTGTCAACAGGAGACACATGTTGTGTCTCAGTAAGTCTTGGTTCTTTTAAATTATTTCTTGAGAAAAACATACCTGGAGTATATGTGAATTCCCTAAGAGTTGGAAATAATACAATTGAAGACCTAGAAAATGGCTATTTCATGAGTCCAAATCAACAAATAGAATATGTGTGTAACTTGCTGGCATCAGATTTGAAATTACGAAATGGATTTAATGCTATTGGTTTTTCACAAGGAAGTCAATTTCTGTAAGTATTTTTATCAAAAATAATATTTTATTTATTGATTTTAGTTATAAAAAAGACATTAAAAGTAAAAAATAATATACTTATATATTACATACAATGTCACAATGGGGAGACAAAAACAATGGAACATCATAATAAAACAAGAACCTTTTTATTTGAGCTATTTATTTATTTATTGCTATTGTTGTTGCACTGTTATTTCAATACAAATATTTGCCGATATTTATTACAAATACATTATTATTTAACTTAATTTAATGATAAATAATATTTGTATTAATATTTGATTCATTTTATTGAAAACTCTGTTTATCTGTGTCTTATATAAATTCTTTTTAATCATTCATTTATAATGTTATAAATATTTATAATGTTAATAAAAAAATATTTAAAATAGGATTCCAAATATTAAGTAATTAGAAAAAATTAGAGAGGTTTGAATCCTTATCCTCTCTTATCAAATTTTCTTTTTCTCCATGTTTTTCCAATTTAATTTAAATACCCATTTCATTATCTATTGTATTGTGACTAAGGTATGAGGTTTGTGCGCAATTTAACATTGATCTATATAATGCTAAACTTTTAATTCTGCTCCACTTGTGTGAACTATAACAACTTATAGTAGTATCTAAGTGTTTGAAAAAGCTTTTTTGACTAGCTGTTGCCTGCGGTTTCATTCATTACATCACTTAATTAAAATATAATTTATTTATTCCATGGGAACATATTGACAAAATAAAAATTGCTAAAACTCTTAATATCTTGTTTTCCTTAATACTTTAATATTATTCTTAATACTTTGCCCATACCAAATTTATCAACAATTGGTCTTAGGCTTTGACAAGTAATAAACAAATCAATCACTAAACTCACTATTCCATTTATAATATTACTTTGTCTTATTTCTATCAATTATTGTAATAAACCTTTATAATTATAAGAATAGTATAAAATAACTAATTAGGTTTGACTATAATGGAATAAAATTTAAATAGTTAAAGATAAAAAATTTCCTTAAGATCACTGCCAGCTAGGGTACCTAGGAGACTGTAATTAAATAATTAATTAATTAAATTAATTATTGTAATTAAGTATTAATTCTAATTAATTAAAAGTTTTATTATTACGAAGTTTCTGCTTACTTATTAATTCAATTGGTATTGAAATATTTAAAAACTTATCACTTATTACTAAATATTAGTAAATATATAAGAAATATATAAAATAAATAAATATTATTTATCATACATAGATATTTACATAGCAACAGGCAAAAGGATAATTATGTAAACACTGAAACTTGTTTATAAACCTAAAACTATTTTTTTTTAATTTAAATATGTTTTGATTCAATTAATTAAAATAATTTCATTCAAACAGGTTCATTATAGATTCACATGATGTGTTAAAAATTATTTTTTAAGTTTTATGTGTATACTGTGTATATATATTGTGACAGTCAGCAGATTCAGAATTTGTCAAAGAAAAATAAGAGTACATGGGTTAAACAACATATTTACATATATTTTTATTTTAGGAGAGGAGTTGTGCAGCGATGTGGACATCAGTTACCACCTATTAAAAATCTAATCACTCTAGGAGGGCAACATCAAGGTGTCTATGGTCTGCCTCATTGTGGAGCTTTGCAGCATGAAAGTTGTGACTATGTGAGGAAGCTGCTTAATTATGCAGCTTATTACAAGTAAGTAACATTTGTTTAAATATGCTACCCAACTCTATGTATGTATATATATAAATTTCATATCTCTTCTCATCAGGTGGATGTCATCACCTCACCATGTATCATGGTAGAGTAAAAAAAAAAACAAATATTGATATACTTTTAAAAATTAGAGATAAAATTACATGAAATTATTCACCTTATAATAATGTTAATTATAAAAACGAATTTACCTTAGAGTGAAGATTTAAACAGGAAAATGAATAAATAAGAATCCAAAATTTTATTAAATTTTGACTAACATAAAAAAAATGAAGAAGGTTGTCAATTTAGTTTTTTTTTTCTTTTTATTACTTTAGAGCTCCATCATTCATAAGCTGTTTTTTTTTATCCTAAAGGGTATACTATCAGATTAGTTTTATAGAAATTTTATCAAAGTTGGTTTAGTAGTTTAATTTTAAATCAAAATAACTGTTTTTCCTACTATTGAGTTTGCTGTAACTTTTTTTTAACAAAATCTACATATAATTTATCATAAGTCAGTGTTGTAATTTCTATAATTTCTAATAAACATCGCAAAAATATCTGATTTCTATAAAGTTACATTACTTTTTATTGCACTATAATATGCAATTTGAAGTAAAAAAAATTAAGTCTTTACAAAACTCACATAGAATTAATTACTCAAGTGTTAAAAGAAATTAATTGAACCAAGAATAATATTATGAACAATCTAATACAGAACAAACAAAGAGATTAATTGAGAACTCATTTTAAATCACTTAAAAAAATATTAATATGTTCTATATCCTTAACAATGCCTATTGTTTGGTATTGTTTCCGAAATTCTAAATAATAAAATTATCATACAAATGGTTGTAACTATTTTAGTCTCTGTCTTAATACTATATTAAAATACTGTTACATTATAACCCTAAGTAACACGTAAGTTCGTTGACACTGTTGAATGGGACTTTATGTTTGTTTGACTAACTGGTCATCAACCCAATCCTTGTAAATCGGGGGAAAAGGGAATTGTTAATAATGATTGTAGGAACCTAGGAACCTAGGTGCCTCCCCTTCTAAGAAACTACCTTTCACCGTGAATTCACCAAGCATTACGGATCAACTAACATAACTTCATTAATTTATTTTTAATACAAATTACTAGTAAGTACAATATCAATGCGGGACTAAACCGGTAGGTACATAATATAATTCTATAGATTCTTAGGATAATAATCAAAATCAGTACAGAATTGGATACGATATAGATGTGATGACTTTGTTCTTTTTAATGATGCTAAAAAAGTACCAACCTTCATCAAGCAACCAGCAAAATGTGAAAGTAAAGGAAAAGACTCATCATTGTACGGTATTTCCTAGTGTTACATCTAAAATTACTCTGGCACTTTGTTAAGTCATTGTTACGGTACTGCTTGCTAAACATTTATGTTAATTGTTAATTCTACATTGTTTATTAAGTGATAAGCATAGAACACTGACAGGAAAATTTAATTCGTTGCTAAATTCATCCAGTTGGTAATAAAAAAAAAAACTGATAAATAATTAGTTATTTAATTAAATACAATTGATTTGAAATATCTGCGTAGCTAAAACTGGGAGATCGATCCTCATACAATACAAACATGTGTATTTTAAAAGAAATTATCTGTTTGTATTGTAGGTAACTCAGAGTTCGTAACTAATCGGGCATCCCCGAATTTAAGACGTGAGTGAAGGCGACATAAATAGTTACAATACAGTATGATTCACGATAGTTATTATTCAACAATATATATTGTTATTGAACAATATATGTTTGTATAAGTTTGGACATTTTTCTACGTATTCTTTACTCATGTTTACAAAAGAGTATACTTGTATTTATATGTTTATCAGAAACTGATACAAGATTTGCAAAACAAAATTGGTGGGACTAAATAATACTGTGAGATGATACACAACAAATCTGAAATCTCTTAAGAAGGTTTCTTAGCTAAGATTTTTTTATTTCTACGCGAAAATGAGTTTACTTACCTTTGTATCTCTCGAGAACATAGTGACTAAATTAGCGTAACATTCTATAATATTTTAAAAAGTGTATGTAGAAATAGCGAAAGTTCTATATTTTATATAGTATACAAATCTGTTGATATTGAAAATTAGCGACATTTTGAATTTATTTTTATAATTAGATTACTTGCACTAATTCCATACAATAACCACAGAAATAAGTTAAAAACACTGCTTATCTAAATAGAGTTTAACAAAACTCTATTTAAGCAATTAAATATTGTTTAGTTGGTGTAATAATTTTTATTTTATAGTTTTATGCACTGAAGCCTATATAAACTCGCTTTCTTTTGTTTAGACATAAACAAATCTTAGACATGCTTTTGTAGTAAGACGTCTAAAATTATATTAAACACGGATCACAGGTTTAAATCTTTGTAGATTCTTTTTTTTTTACATAAAATCGCATGGTCTCTATTATTACTTATTGTTTTAAAAATTATGTAATTGTGATATAGTCGGGTAGCTTGAATAATTAATGCACACTGAAATGTCCAAATTGATGGCGGCTTGGTGGGTCGAGTTGTCGTGTTCTTTAAAATATGGTTGATCGCAATGATGACTGGTTTGTCAGTCATACTCGTGAACGGATAGTAATTTTTAAGGACCAATCTGTTCTAGTAAACTACAACTGATCTATGTGTGCTTAACTTTGATTTTGTATTATTATATTTAATATTTTATGTTACAGTCTATTAATAATTATTTTTTATTATTATTCCTTTTTTTTTTTTTAAGAGTAACAGTTTAGTTTCTTGTCTGTTCTTCTCCTTAATAGAAGAAGAATAAATAAATAAACTTATCATATAAAACTTTTAAAAATAAAGTTTCTTTTTTTATTTAACGGATTCTTTAGGCCACGAAAAACAGTTAATGCCAACATCAATACCCATACACACAAGTAAGATATTATGAAAATTATGCTCTATTGATACGAAAGGTTATCGTCAGTCATGTTTGTTACTTGGAATGGAAATTATCTGTGTGGCCTGTTATTTTATCCTGCTCGAGATCGGACATTGATTTGTAAGCGTTCTTCGTTCCGAATTAAAAAAATAAACAGTGGCTACTGTAAGAATGGAGTAGGGTTGAAACTAATGCATTCTCATTCTTGAACGATGCTGATATCAATTGAAATATCATTGAATTACTTTCGTAATATAAAAATAAAGATAAATATGCTTGCAGTATATCTTTAATGGGATAGTTAGAAATATTAGTCGACTATTATTGTTGTGAATAACAATATAGACACGCTAGTATTTCACGGAGCATATTACATATTAACTGTTATACTAGTACTGTACTTAAGTACTTTCGGATGAGGTCAAAATAATTGTCGGAAATGACAATATTCATAAAATATCCGTTATACATATATATATATATATATATATATATATATATATATATATATATATATATATATATATATATATATATATATATATATATTTTGTTTGTTTTGTTTCAGGTGGGTGCAAAAAGCACTTGTTCAAGCTACTTACTGGCACGATCCACTTGACGAGGAAACGTACAAGAAAGGTAGCCAGTTCTTAGCGGATATAAACAATGAACGAGTAATCAATAAAACTTATATAAACAACTTGAACAAATTGGAACATTTTGTGATGATAAAATTTGACGGTGACTCCATAGTGCAGCCCAGAGGAACGGAGTGGTTCGGCTTCTACAAACCTGGGCAGGCAAAAGTCATGCAAAGCCTGCAAGAGTCTGCTCTTTATGTGAAGGTTGGTACAACATTTTTGAATTTTAATATTGGTGTAGATACTTTATATCTCAAACAGGACTGAAGGGATTGTTAGTAATGGGGTCTGACAGCCTCATAACTAGCAACAGACTCTCTCAGGTCGACCTCCATGTTCTTCTCCTTGGAAACCATTATGGTTGATTCTCATTGAATTAGTCATGATGGACCAACTGACCTTGACTGACGTTCATCCTTGCTTCATCTCATTAGTAAAAAGATTTCTAATTTTTTTTTAATATAAAATATTCTCATAGTACCCCATCGGTGCGTTCTGATAGCACAGGCGGGGTTACCATTCCATTTTTACTCCATTTTTGGTTACCATTATAAATCAGTGGCGTCATTGTATTGATTAGCATTTTGCGTGTTTTTTTTTTAAACCAAATTCACATTATAAGACAATTACTTATTTAATATTCACCATAAGTATTGAGAAATCTCATCATACTCGCCATTAATCTGTAACACAGTGTGTGTGTCTTCTGTGTGCCTGCCCTTATAGCTGTCACTAAAAGCTCTCAAAAAATAATACAAATAAAACAATATTAACTACTTAATATTATTCTCAATTTCGTGTACAATATAGTATATGTCATATATGTGTAAGTTATTTATATATATTTATTCATTTATGTATGTAATTTTAGTATGTATGTATATCTATAATCACTAGTACCGCATTCGAGTATTCTGATATTAACATTAAATCCGCCATGTACACATATTTGTACTAATGAATAAATAAATTAATAACATGAAATATAGACACAAGGAAAAAACAACATTACAAGAAGCAAAGTAAAGAGGCAACAAAGGGTAGCTTTATCGCTAAATAGCATAAACGCTGAACTATGAATTTTTAATCAAATTACCCTCACATGAATAGTAATGTGGACCTTTTTTTATATATTTCTTTTTATATAATTTAAATTTAATTATTTCTAATGTCTGCCAATTTTTCTATCGTTCTAATTATATATCACATAGATGTAGGATAGTACCAGCGACACTGTATCTTTCTTTCAAAATACGTACTAAGTCTTGGTTTGGTTTCTATTACAGTAAATTTACAGGGTACAGAAGAATAACACCTGAGTCCTCAGGAATGGCAATACATGGGGAGTATCATAGACGAAACAATATACTCTGTTATGTCCATGGTACTGCTCACGTCTATAGGCGACGGTTACTACTTTCCATTATGTGGGCCGTCAGCTTGTTTACCATTCTAAGTTGCATTAAAAAAAATATCCCATCCTCAACCCTTACAAACAAAAGATAGATAGATATATAATTTATTTGCATCATTTACAGCACACAAATAACATTAGCTCTCTCTTTTCATTTAAGAGTTTCCTCTTGTCGGTGCAACTAATTCATGCATCTTCCTCCAGCCAGCTCTATCCCAGGCCATATCCTTGATCTCCCTATACGACATGACACCTAGTGTTTCTTTTATCTGTCCCATGTCAACATTAGCTACTGGTACATATTTAAATAAATAGAACAAAACATATACAAAAAAAGGTGGTAATACAATATTTTTCAAATTAATAAATTGTCTATTTCAGGATCGCCTCGGCCTCAAGAAAATGGATAAAGCAGGGAAGCTGGTCTTTTTGTCACAGCCCGGCGACCATCTCCGTTTCTCTCAAGATTGGTTCATTAAAAATATAATTAACGTGTATCTAGATCCAAAGAAATAATTGAAGGCTGATCATAATGAGATTTTAGTTTATAGTTTCTCATTTGTGATAGTTATTAAAACAGAGAAATGAATCGTTTATACTCATAGTGTAGTAAGTATGGGACAATTATATTGTTGTTAGCCATAAAGCACTGTTCTTGTGGTTAATAATTACGATTTCTCATTATTTTATTCTCACTAGGCATAATTATATGTTTATTTATATACAAACTACTATTGATAAGTCAAAATAGCAAAATGAATATATTATGGTAAATCATATTTTAAAAAAATAAAGATTGCTATTAAAATTAATCTTGATTTGAATTTTGACTTTGTAACATCACTCAAGACATTTTTCTCACTAAAAATACACGTATATATAATAAAAATTACATGTACATGCAAACGAAATCGCGTGTGTAACTAGTAGGAATCGCAGGAAATAGCAGAAAAAATCGAGTATTCGTTCACAGATCATGATATAATTATTGTGTCATATAAAATAAAAATACAATATTTACTTAGATACAATAATTTACTGACACATAATGTATAAAACACATAGAAATTAAAAGAACACAATTTTTTTTTATTTTTTTTTTTGTATAAAATATTACAGTTAGAATTCGTATACGATTTCAGAGTATAGATTTAAAATGTAAGCCTACAACTTATCTTTACAACTTATCGTTAGGAATAAATCGAAGATTTATTGTATTCTTAATACATGTTATTCGATAAGATTTTCAAGTTCAATTGCCCGTTGCTTCATGGTAGTGCGGTCAGGGGTGTCCGCGAGCCGCACTTGTACGTACACGCGGACACACTTATTGTGTTTAGAGCTTCTCTTTATGTAGGGGGCGTTGGCACCGCGCAATTTGTGTAGAGGGAACTTCACTAGGCACTGGAGCATGCACCGCTCTGCTATTTTATAACTGAAAATAAAAAAAATACAACTATAGAGCCAAATAAGGTAATAATGTAATGAGGGCCTTAATCAACTGTTTTCAGACGTATTCGAAATATACGAGTATTAGGGTTGAAAAATTTAAAATCCCTACAATTCGATTTAGGATCAGGACTAGAACTCGCATCTTCAAAAGATTAATGATGAATGAAAACTGTTTATTGTTATCCTTACAAAAAAATACATAAAATATGTGCACAAGATAGTTACATCATGCAGATCAAGGAAGGAGTTGGTGTCGTGTCGTATCAAGAGGTGAAGAGACTCGCTGAAAATCAAAGTGAGTGGCAAGAGCTTCACCGACAAGAGCGCAGCTCTTAAATAGGATAGATAGATAGATGTACACAAGAAAAACAAATCATTTTTACAAGAACCAAGTTGAAGGAGCAACAATTTGCGGTCTTATCACTAAATAACGACTATTTCTGGTAACCTTGAACAGGAATAATTAAACAAAACGGAGAAAAGATATTGAGAAATTTGCCGTTTTATAGTAAGTATTCTTTCTCGGATGTTACATGAAATAGAAAGAGATAGTAATGTTTGGTGTCTTTTTCTTTCTCATGCATCTGAGTACAAAAACTTATGATACTGGTGAATCGGTTTCCCCATTTGTCTAGATGGCGAGACCTATTTATTTATTGAACTTTAATATACCTAAACATTGTAAATGATGTGATTGACACTATATGGCCCTGACCAACATTTACATTGTATAAGTATGATTATTTTACTGGTATTTTGCTTACTCATAAGGGTTTATGCAGTCCATCCGTAAAACCTTATAGCTTTGATCGTGTGCTTGTTCCTTGGATTTTTCAATTAATAAAACAGCCAAACCTTGTCTACGATACTCAGGTGCTACAGCCAACATTCTAATCTGAAACACATTGACAGCTTAAACTAAAAGAAGTATTTGCTTTTAGCACAAATTATTTACTAATTAATTATATTTTAGTATGACTGTTCATTTATTTAAGTATACGAAGACACGTGAATTTCCACGGCTGCAGGGATTAATCCGTGGAAAAATAATTATCACATTATATGTACTCGATGCCCTGTGGTCCCTACATAGAATGGGCCACCGTCTTCCTTTCCCGTGGCTGTCGTAAGAGACAACTAAGGGAACTTTTTAGTCGAGTGACGGGCAGCAGCGTCCCTCTTAAAACATCGCCAAAGCCTAACTGTTGTTGCCAATCCGCCCGCCAAACGTGACAACTACTGACAAAGCTCCTCAATAGAGGGAAGCCTATGTTTAGCAGTGGGCAGTAACGGCTGACATGTCAAATGACACGGCTGGTAAATGGGTACCACTGTTCCACTGTTTCTAATGTGAAGCAAGTACGAGTATGTTTGTATCGCTGTTTTGATATGAGGGGTCAAGGGTAAGATATGACAATGAAATAACAGAATATGAAGGTATAACACCTTAGTCCCCAGAATTGGCAATGTATAGGGGTGTCTACTATTGGCTTTAAGGTGCCTTTTATAATGTTTATGGTATTGTTCATATTTATAGGTGAGCCATAAATTTTTTGTTATTCCAAGTTGTATAAAGAAAATCTTAACCTCATATATCTTTTGTTGCTTGAATATTTCCCAAAGATTTGGAGTCTCCTGTAGCTTGGCTGTGAAGTACAAAAAATCTTTCGTATTGGGATCCTGCAGAGAAATGAATATAAATCATTCAAAATTTATACAGTTTTTTTTTTTATTTTTATGCATTCTTTATTGACCATATTACAAAGAAAAGTTTGGTACAAAAGGCGAACTACTACATGATATTCTCTCCCAATCAGTCAGATTCTACAGATTTGACACATCAATACAGATTTTTTTTAAAGGGATAATAATGGAATTGTATACGCTGGTAGGGTATCGGAGAATAATAAATAGAAAATGGAGTCGAGTAACTTAGCTCATAGTGCGATATTAACTAGTAATCAATCACGATGGTTTACAGTGGGAATCGTGTGGAAGTCAACCTAACAGGATAACTACTAATCATAGGTCCTCTAGACCCCATTGCTAACAATTCTGCCCCCTCTTGTAACCCCGCTTGCACTATCGATATATATTGGCGGGGCACCAGTGAGACATGACAGGTGAGGATGAAGCACATCAGTTAGCACAATGTGATTAATTCAATAATAAATAAAAGTTTCCAGGAGAACCGCGAGGAGGTCGGTCTTATATATTGCTAACAACACGGTTGTTAATCGCAATTAGTAACAACTGCATCTCCCCCTATTAATACTAGTTAGGTCCTACCTACCTATAAGAATTCTGAAATTATAAGTAAACTACATATTTACTAAAGACTGCTTCGATTTTATATATCTCCGACGCGGCGGTTTTCCTTGTATACTATTATTTTGTCAAGGTTTCGTCTAGTAATTATTTAGAACGGACTTCTAAGTAGGTACGCGACCCTCACACCATCGTTAAATTAAAACCTAACTAGATGCAATTTTATTGTTAATTTTATTTCCAACACACTCCTAAGTGAAATGTGTTCAAATTTAATATATGGTATCTTGTTAAATATTTTTCTACCATGACCGCTGTAACTCGCTAACAAATGGACAATATTAAGACAATTAATGATGATGATGATTTGTTAAAATCCGTTTCTAGCGTTGATAACTTAGCGCTGGAACACTTTAATTTGATTATCGTAACAAGTTTTTGCGGCTAATCTATATGCATATTGAGGGTATATAGAGAGTAGGTATTCCGCTAACATCAATCAATGCATAAAATAAAATTGTAACTGTTCGCTGTCTGTACATTGAAGATATATAAAAAATCTATTATAGGGAGGCTTTATAATAATAAATATATACAATAGAACCCAAAGGATTTTTTTTTATAATTTGTGTATGTTTTTTTTGATGGGTGGAAATTGTATGGTAACCCAGTCTGCGCTAACGGAGCACCAGTGAAGGGTGATAGATAAGAATGAAAACAGGCCAGTTAGCCCATCATGATAAATTCATCAGGAATTAACTATGACAGTTTCCAGGAGGAACCGCGAGAAGGTCGACCTGGTTTGGTACATTGCTAGTAATGGGATTCTCAGTCTCCATTACTAACAATCCCATTCCCTCCAATTTGCGTCTGTTTGTCTGTACGTTTGCAAACGCTGATCTCAGAAACGGCCTAACCGATTTAAATGTGGTTTTCACTAATGCGTTGCAATTTGCTTAACATTTAGTGTTAGTTTAATTTCAATCGGTTCTCAAATAAAAAAGATATCAATCTAAAGAATCACATATAAAAATCAGATATAAAATTACTGATTAATTAAATTGGCTGAAACTTTTTTTATTATTTGTATTAATTATCAAAAATTCTGTCTACTCGTGCGAAGTCAGATCGGATCGCTAGTAATTACCTATAATTGATGGGGGCGGGATATAATAGGTAAAGAAACTTAGGCTTATGGCCTAGGTATATAAAAATAAAATAAAGAGTCAAACTATCAACAACAGATGTGAATACTTTGATGGACATCATACATTGTGGATTTATTTTATTATTTCGAATTTGTATAGGATTTCGAATTTATGTAGATACTCACTTGTCTATAGAAGGCATAGTTTCGAAGATTTTGCGGATCTACTGGACTGCTCGCAAAACCAACGCATATACCAGCAATTTTGTCGTCCTCGGTTTTTGCTAATAGTGTATTCCCTGTAATTAATATACAAAATTTATATTAAATTAACAGCTCCGTTATTTTGGTACCGAGGATGTATGTAATCACATTACACTTAGGTACACTTTTTTATATTTTAAACTCATACGCGAGCCAATGCTCGGTCAAAACCGAGTCATGAAGAAGTTGTTTTTTATGAAACTTAGAATGGCAAACAAGCTAATGTCCCACCTGATGGAAAGTGGTAACCTTCACCTATACAAATGAGCAGTACCATGGACGTAACAGAGTATACTGCTTAGTCCATAATACCCTCCACGTTGCCATTCCTGAGGACTCAGGTGTTATTCCTCTGTGCCCTGTAAATTTGCTGCCATATCCCACCCTTCAAACCGAAACACAGTCATGCAAACACAACTGCTTCACGGTAAAAACACGAATGGAATAGAGGTGCCCAAGCAAACGACTTTTGTACAAAGTCTCCCTCTGGTAAAGTCAGAAGGGGACATGAGCGATTGATCTAAATCTAAAAATCTTCTCCAGCTAAGGAATTTAATGGTAATACACAGTAGAAACAAAACTTCAAAGTGCTTTGCCATTATTTGGCAGACAAATTAACTGATTACTCTCCATCATGTTATAGCAAAATGTAATCACTATGCTTTTGGTGGTTGGTGCTTTAATTAATAAAAAAAATCATAAGAGAATGAATATGGTTTCTTAACACCACACATATGAATAGATAAATCCTATACTCAATATTCTTATACTAATATAATACACTAATTAGAGTAAGATCAATTTCGGTTTACGTCACGTAGGTGTGCTTAAGATCTACCCTTTTAATAGACAAGTGACAAAAAGATTTATCGGATGATACGTTTCATTCATAGCGTCCTGGAGTTTTTTTTTTTTTTTATAGTTCTGGGTCGCATAAATGACAGTGATTAGTTATTAGATACGGGTGACGGGTCAGCTCAAAAGAATCGAAGGGAAATGAAATACTCAAAAATGTATGTAAACATAGGATATGATTGATATAGATAGGTTATTCAAGTAAGTAGTGATCTTATTACTAATTGATTTGGATATCCTGGATTTTTTTTAATGGGTGATAATTGAATGGTAATCCCGCCTGCGCTATCGGGTTACTCTAGCACCAGTGAGGGATGATAGGTAAGTATGAAAAAGCAGATCAGCTAACCCAACATGACTAATACCACTAGAATTAACTACGACGATTTCCAAGGGGAATCGCATGGAGATCGACCTGATAAGGTGTATTACCAGCAATAGGTCAATTAGACCCCATTACTAACAATCCCTTACCCCCCTATCCTGGAGAATTTATAAGTACCTTGTTTAAATAAATTAGTAAGGTATTCGTCAAGTGCCCGATCATTACTCAAGTCCATATTACGCGCTCGGACCAACACATGTTCCTTGAGATAGTGTCGCTTGATGATATCCATCGCCGGTTCATGATGTTCACTGGCCACCGGGACAATCGTGAAATTCTCAAACTGGAAGAAAAGCTTATCTCTCACGTAGATACAGAAGTAGCTGCAACTATCGTATTAACTAGAATTTATTGGTGTATATCAGTGTTTCACTACCTCTACCTCTATAGTCTAAGTCTATAGAGGAATCGCGAAAACTACCTCACTAAAAAAAACTAAATTATAAAGATAGATTTATTGAGAATAATGATAATTAAAACATTTGTTTGTTAATACAAATTAACAAAATTAATTAATTAATTCTGTATTTATCCGAAACCTAATCATCTTTGTAATATTATAAAATATATCAAAAAATGCGAAGGGTCGGGGGTCACGGAATATTTTTTCATAGTAAGGGGTCGTGTTATAAAAAAGGTTGAAAAACACTGGTCTAAATAAACTACTGATCTACACAGTGCGTGCATTGTGTTTTAGTCTAAACGGTAATAGTCAAGAACGATTTATGTCCCCCAAGGGGGAGGATTATGTTCAGCAGTGAATAGTTAAAAGCTGATATGATGATGATGATGATCTATGTCACAAACCAGCTCATAACACTTTACATTCTTTAGGAGCGGAAGCGATAATACATGAGGATCTAAATCCGGTGATATTCACAGTGTATTTATGTTTATCACAAAACATTATGTTTACTATTTTAGTATCAGGTTATCAGCGTCAGCTTATTTACACCACAACGTCTAGTATAATTGTGTAAAAAATAGTGTAGGCATTAACTTTTTACATTCCGTCGTGAGCAACAATTAGGGACGCTCTGAGTGTCACTTAATTCTATTATCTGTAACGTTTATGGTGCTACTCATATAAATAAATAACCGTTAACTCTTTCCATCAGGTAGGCCGTTAATAAACTGAAACTAAAATGAACTAATATTTACCTTCTCCTGATTTAATAAATCTTTGATGCCGAATATACTGTGACATTTTTTAACATGTCTTATACGTGATGTTTTAGTAATATTTGGAATTGTTAATTTACTCAATATTAGAGAAAACATTTTATTTTATTCAACACTAATAATTTTAAGACAATAATGACATTCGTGACGTTTTCATATTAAGTAGTATCTATTAAAAATTATAACACTGAGTATTTATGCTTTTTTTTTAATGGATGATAATAGAATTCTTATTTCGCCTGCGCTATCGCTATACATTAGCGGGGTACCAGTGTGAGATGATAGATGATGATAAAGCAGGTCAGTTGACTTATCGTGACGAATTCAACAATAAATCAATCACGATGGTTTCCAGGAAGAACTGCTTGGAGATCAATCAATAATAGGAAATAATAGGGTATATTGCTAGCAATGGAACTGCTAATTCCATTACTAACAATCCACTCTCCTCTATGTATCTTTGCTTACCAACACGGGTAAACATCAAACATATGTCTTTCAAGTTGGTACCTATCTATCTGGTAAAGACTAATGGAGTACCAGTGTGAGAGAGAAGGGATTGTTAATGGGATTAGTAGATGTTATTAATACATATAATGATGGTTATTAATACCCATTTAATGAGCTATCACTATTTAAAGGAAGAAAGACAAAGACGAAAATATATTTTATTTATTTATTCTTTATTGCACAATAAAACTTGTCACTTAATTACACAAATAAATGACTGAATTGATTTCAATTAAATCGTACCTAATAAATTTAATAAAACTTATTATTGTATATGTATTTATGTTCAAACTTGTTGCATAATTCACACATTTATATAATTCCTCTTCATAAGCATGTAATTAGAAAACAACTATAAAATAAGTGTTGTAAAACTTTCATTTAAATCAATAATCATGTTGATTATTGATACACGACGATTGGTAAGAAATTGAAAAGAACCACTTTTATACGAATTTCTTTTAGTTATTGTTAAAGTTACATTTTTGCTGTAATAGCTTAAGAAGGTCTTAGATTATATATAGATAGATGTCTCCATAAAAATGCTTTGAGTAAAACGAGTCAACTTTTTCGTACAATTTTGTGTAATAAATAGTTATAAGTAATTCCTTTAGAACTTCTATATTTATTTTATCTTATAATTTATTCGTCTTTTTAATGCGTAAATACTTATTTTATTTATGAAATAATACGTCAAGATATATTTTAATAGAACACTGATAAAAAAACAAGTCAGCTTATTTGACAAAAATATTTTAATTTGACCCGTTTTTGAGGCTCGATGCTCTATCTATATAATCTAAACCTTAGCATACCTATCTAATACTTTTTTCGTTTGTGGATTCTAGTCTCTATACGTAGTTTATTCGTTTTCAGTATATATTTTAGTGCTGGAATGCAGATGCATAAATTTTATAGATTTACCAGTTAAGAAAATGAATATTGATAAATCAAGGTTGCCAGTAAAAACACGCTACACAAAGTCAGTTGTCAACGAACTACGAAGACATTGGTTATACAATAAATATAAGTTAAGGCAAAGCCCAGAGGCAACAGTTACAAAATACGAAGAGGAAAAGGATGCAAATTTCAAAAATAAAATTTCGACGCTAGTAAAACAGACTCTTCACGATACAGAGAAAAAAATTAAAACTGTGCAACATCTTAAAATTATGTACAGAGAGGAAGCTCCTTACAAAGTGGGCTTTATTCTGAGTATGGTGAAAAAATCTAGAGATGTATTGAACGAGCTATTCAATGTAGCTGTGAAGCATCGGGACGAGTGGAAAGCTCTGGAACAGTTGAAGATCTTAGAGTCAATAGTCAACACCAATGTTGATACGACTAATCTGATGAGGCAACTGGTTGAACTACATGTACAAAGTTTAAACAATACGAATTCAGCAGAAATAAAAAGGATGGTACTGGCATGACCTTGCAATAATTTGCAACACAACACAACAAAACACAACAAAACAAACTAACGGCCCACCTGATCGAAAGTGGTTACCGTCACTTATAAACATGAACAGTACCATGTATTATCCTTATTTGTAATAATACATTAAAAATCTTCTTGCCTTACGTAGGTATATAGTCGTTTATGTTCATCATTTTTTCTGTATAAACAGAACACATCCATCAAGAGCATAATGTATCAGCCACACGTCAGTTTACCTTATCCAAAGAAAAAAGCGAGAAACGCGAGATGCTTTATACATTTTTACACGTGTATTTCAAACCACACATTGTACTACCTTAAATAATGAGGAGTCGCATCCCATCTTTTCCAGCCGTTAATTATTCGCGGGTAGGCGCAGTTTTCTGACGAGGCACCTGTGCCTTGATGAGGTCGCGCTAGTGCATTAGTTGATGACGTCACACCTCGGTAGGTATGTAACTGGTAAGTAACTAGTCATAAAAAAAGACATAAATTACAAGTAGGTTTTAGTATATAAAATTTAATATACCTTTGTGATTGCTACGGTTTAACACACTGCATCGTCTCTCGAAGGTTGCGGCTTCATACCCGTATAATATAATTCTTATTCATACATCTACATATATCTATAAATCTAAACTATGAGTTGGTAGACATTTCTATTTAAGTGTTTATATTAGTCTGGGTGTTTTCTATCTACTTTAAATGTTTATATATAATTTACTTAATTTAGAGGGGTACTTATCCTAAAATCACATACATTTGAATTTCGAAATCTAGAAAAAAAAAAGAACAACAAAATTGCTAGAAAACGGTAAAGGTAATTTCATAGTTAAGCATTTAATAATACGTATATGTGTACGTGGCTATCTTCTCCAAATAGATAGGTAGACCCACCGGAGTAGATAGCAAGCGTCCGTATTTCATAAAACAAAAGACCATAACAATAGGCAAACTGGAAACTTTTTTGGCTTAATAAACAATGGTGTGTAGGTAAACGTGGAATAGAAACATTTTTAGTATAGGGCTGTAATACGTGAAAATAATATTATTATATTTATTTATTATATTTCACAGTTTGAGTGCCGAACATTCTCATTAGGCTCCAAGTAGTAATCTAACAATTTGCCTGAAAATACTTCGTTTAGTGGTGAAAACCGTATCGCAAAACATGCATGAACGAAATGGCAATCGGAGATTGATGACTAATATGGAAAGTTATGAAACTTCTGGTATAATAGTGGTGGTCAATCTTCGAGTGTTGACAGTCACACACATACTAATGGTAGAGGAATTAAACAAAAAACACATAGTTCAGTAAAATAATATTAAATAAATAGCAAAAAAAAAAACATTACGTGGGTATATATAAATAAATTACTTAAGTAAGTATAGCTAAGCTTATATCTCCGTAGAGATTAGAAAAGTAAAAATTTCGCGGTGTGTGTTATTCCATGCAATTCGTAACTTAGTTTTTTTTTTTACACAACTTAGAATGGCAAACAATCTGACGGCCCACCTGATGGAAAGTAGTAACCGTCGCCTATAGACATGAGCAGTACCATGGACATAACAGAGTATACTGTTTCGCCCATGATACTCCCCCATGCGTTGCCATTCCTGAGGACTCATGTTATTCCTTTGTACCCTGTAAATTCACGCCATATCCCACCCTGAAGGGTGAAAACGGTTTCGGTTTGAAAACCGAAACACATATAACGAAACCGATAAATTGTAACTCTACTTAAAAATAATATAATACTGTTAATAATATAAGAGCGTATCGTTAAGCTTGTCTGGAAGATATTGCTTAGCAATGAGACCGCCTTTTGTACTACACTATACTTATTGAAAATTTCCAATAAATCCTGTAATTAAGGTGCAATAAAGTGTTAAATAAATAAATAAATAAGGTACCGTTTATTAATCAATTTTTCAACTATAACAGAATTAGGGACAGTGCGTCTATTAGGAATATTAAGAAAATGAGAGTTAATTGCATCAGGATTATCAAAAGACGAAGGAGAGAATCCTCTTGCCGGGATCAACTAATATATTGTATTTTTGGAGGTAAAATAATTTAACATTTATTTTTATGCCTATTAATAAGTATTTATTAAAATATATGTCCTTCTTTTATATACCCATAGTTTTAAATACCAATGTATATATATTTATATGTATGATATGTATGGATTAACTACTTTACATAGGTATATATTTTATGGGAAAACAATTATAATTAATTAATATCAAAGTAAAAAGAAAACCTTATCAATTGTATTAAATAATACAATAATACAAAATAAATCGACTCTTTGTTATCATAGAATATTGGAAAGATAACAGTCGAAAATTTTGTTTTAATTATTGTTAGTGAATACTTTGGCGTCATTTCCTAAAAATTTACTGCCTACATAGATATTTGTTTATCAGCGAAAAAGTACGAGTTTCACTATTGGATCGAATCATGTATTATAAATACCTAAAATCAAACGATAATTAAGTATTTGTTATATCATACAAAACTAATTCCCTAATTTAATTCAATAAGTATTTCAGATACTTGAGTAAGTAACAACCCTATTGCATAATATATACAGAAAAACACTGACTGTGATTGTTAATTGATCATTGTTTCGGCAGTTGCTTTAAAATATGAACATACTGGACATAAACTGGACGTTAGGAAAGTATGGATGTTCATAATATACAATTAAAATTATTAGCGAACTTCATACATAACAAAAAATATAGTAGAATTAAAATTTTACAAGGTGTAAAAAAGGTAGTCTTTGCTTTCTTACTTTTTAAAATAAATTGAAAAAATTTGTTTTTATATTCAGAGTGTAAATTTGCCTGTTTAAGGTATCCTTTTTAAGATTTAGTTACTTTATTAAGTTCTATAAAAAATAATAATGTAAAACAATAAAAGATTTATTATTTTAAGTATTAGGTAAAAATTAAAATCAGGTAAATTTAAATGCATTTAATTACTTACTTAAATAATAGTGATAACCGACATGATTTTATAAAGAAGAATCGTGCATTTATACTACAAGTAAATTTTGTTTTCGAAACGTGACAAAATTTAAATTGAAAATTTTTAAATTAAAAAGTTTTTTGAAGTAAACATTTTTGGAAAATACTGTTTATGTGAATTTACTGGGTACAGAGGTAAAACACCTTAGTTCTAAG